ATAAGGCTATACTCTCGTGCACCAAAAGACAACTTAAATAACATATTAATTTTTCTCTACTCTTAATCTCTAGGTGAACGCCTGCCTACTAATCATGCCATAAACGATGCTCGCTCATTTATATATTTTCATTTGCTCAATATCAGAGTCAATGTGCTGGGCTCATGACCGAGTGCTACCTAAGTGAGCATCAATTTTTATTTTCACCTATATCACATAAACACATCCTTTTCAATCTCAATTACTCATTTAAAACACATTATAAACATCCAATTTATCTTGAATATCACTTTTACAACTTAAAACTCATTTTACAATCTCTTTGCATGTTTAATGCATATCAAAGTGATTAGATAAACATAAGGTTTCATTGCATGATTTACTCGTTCACAAGTCAAGATTTGCATATTAAACACATAATTAATACCACATTACAATTAACACATAACTACCCAAAGTAAGGTTCCCTCGATTATCTCAAATCTATAAGAGGTCAAAGGTTTATCCCTCAATCTTTAAGCTTTTAAGTTTAATTTTTCAAGCCTCAATGATGTTTAAGAACTCAATCTACAATCAATCAAGTTAAATTTCATCAACAAAGTCAATCGCACACAATTCTAAACTCACTGTCCATCTCTAACTCACCTAATACCCACATTACTTATACTTGGGCCTACTCATTAGATTTATTAACTATCTTTAACATTATATAGCTTTATTGAATACTCATATTGCAATTAATACCTCAACAATCATAATAATGATAGATTTAGTGTCCATTTTTAGACATTAATGGGACTCATCATCCGACAACTATCAAAATCATTAATACTAGGTTTGAATATTCTAAACAACTCTCATTAACCTTGTTTAAGTCAATGAGCTCGAATCCATAACCTATATAGACCTAAATTATCATTTTCATTTAAACCCTAACTCAAATCCTTGAGAAAGTGGAAAAGAAAGGGAGAAAAAGAGTTTAGAAATCTTAGATGAATTGAAACTTCAAACCTTTTCAAATCCTCCCCTAGATGATGCCCTAACAAAACAAATATGAGTTCCTCCATTTTCCTTTCCTTTCCGTTCTATTTTTTACATTAATTCATGATTTATTTCTACAAAATTCACATCGTGTGTAATGACGCATGTCCCCACACGCTGTGGCATGTGATATAGAGAAGATAACTCTTTCTTTGTAGCCTTATGCGCCGTAGCACACCACGCATGGGCCGCGGCATGTGGCACAAAAGTTTTTTAACTTATTTTTCTCCATTCTTAATTTCCAAGTGACCCAATTTCACTTTGGACCTAAATTATACTTGAAATTCTAACTAAAAAATTTATTACTTTTCTCTGACCACATACCATATCAATTTACTTAATTATCCTAATTAAGCTTAGTAAATCAAGAAATTAAAAATTAAAACTTGCATTATTATAGCATACAACTTGTATATTTTATGTCATGAATTAGTGAATTTTGGTTGTAAACTCATGGATATGGCAAAAATACTTGTACAAGTAGAGATATGTATTTTGAATGATTTAAAATGAAAATGATGATCTTGTGCAAAGATTTCCTTTCCTTTATTTTTATGAAATTTGGGATTGAGTGATGATTTTGAGATTTATGTATTTTTATTTGAATATGATGCATTGGACGAGTCCACTAAAGTCTATTGAGTGTGGTCAGAGGGTTGGTGTAGTCTTTTATACTTGTGGTTAAGTTGGGACACCAATGCTATGTGTTTTATGTGAGAAAGTGGTAAAATAGATTTTAGTGTTCAACTTTTTATAGAAAATTAATTTGAGTGTGAAACATGTGCCATTAACTAGAGCTAGGAAAAACTCTGTGTAAACACTAAAATCACCTCAATCAAATGCCGAACGGAGTTTTAGCACATATTTGAAGTTCGCTCTCACTACTGGTAAATGACAACAGTTGTTGCTGTCAAGTTTGTGCAATGCGCTGTAGTGCAGGGTATAGAGAAGGGCGAGTCGCAATGCATGCCACATTTTCTACATAAAATATTGTTTTGAGTTTTAAAACTCAATGTTTTAGGTCTCGTGTGATTTTTAAGCTTCCGCATTATTTTAAAACTCTGATTTGAGCATCATATATGTTTGATAGAGATTTTAAATGCTGGAATTATAATCCCAATGTGTTGATTTGAAAATTATTCTCATTTATGTAATTTTTATAAATTTGATAATTCTTGAGAGGTTTAGTTTCTTGATTATCTCAATGTTGGAGTTAATTGTAGTTTAGTAAGGGAGATCTTAAACATGTGACCGCACCGTGGTAATTATTATTTTTATTTATCCTTTACATTTAAGAACTTTATACTGTCTATGTTACATTTATTTTTGCTCGGCTCCCAATTACCAACAGCCCCATTCCTTGTTTAGTTTATTATCAGAAGCCCGCCTGATACATGGAATGACGGGAAAGAAATTACCGGACACTGCAATTTTTGCTTTTCCATTTGATACCCACTGATCGAAATTGTTTTACGTTTTTTTATGCACATTCTAGTTGCATAATACCTAAAGGGAGAATCACATTCGAAGTCTACAGAAACGAGTCATTCTGCATTCACCGTAGATATTCACAAAATGATGTCATTTCTCTCCAGTTTTTAAAAACGTTTTCAAAATTAATTTTTTTTATGATATATGCTTTTTGTGGATAAAAGTTGTCTTGCTGCAACTTAATCTTTCGAGTTTTTTCATTTAAAAATTTCGTTCATGCTTCGAGTGAATCAAACTTGACCTGCTTACGTGTCACAAACATTGTTTACATGTTTACACGGCATCCCCATCAGCAACACATCATATGCATGTGCCAACGTATTTAAAAAATAAAAAGCAAAAAAGCAAAAATAAAAACCGACGACACCAAAAGCTTGTGCAGAGGCTAGCAAGGAAACCATGGACATAGCTTTTCTATGCAATTCAGTAGTAGACTTAACTGACAGTGGCACCGGCTAGGACCCCAAGCTGTGTTGTAATGTACATTAATGTCGACGCCTTGGAGCTTAACGTGATCAAGAAGCATGAAAGGGGTTTTCAGTCTCAAAGGAAAAAGAGAGGCCTTCATAGTCATGGCCTCCATTGCGCACTCTGAGATGGATCTCAACCTTTATGGAGCAGAGAACAGTAGCCTGGACATGGTTATCAGTGGCAAGCATGAAGATGAATTTAGGTTTAGGAGCGAAAGGCTCCAATAGCCTTAAGTTCTGAGCAAAGGATTCAAGAACGAAGGAGAAAGAAGCACTGGTTTGAGAGTGCATATGGAGGAAACGAAGGGGGAAGATTTGTTGGTGTGGAAGCATACACTGAATGAAGCTCTGGCGAATGGAAGCTGATAAAGAAACAGGAGAGGGAAGAAGTAAAACTGTAAAAGAGGGGAGAGGGTCATGCTTTTTCTTTTTACCGCCTCTGTGATTTTATTTTTTATAATATTATGGCGCATAGATAGGATGTGTTACTGATTTGATTCACTCCAGGCGGAATAAAGTTTTCAAATTTTAGACTTGAGGAATTAAATTATAATTATATTAAAAATTAAAGGACCAACAAATTATTTTCCTTGTTTTTTCATAGAAAGAATTATTTGCAGAATTCAAGACTCATGCATTAATTGTTTGCGCAGATCTGTAATTCTGTTCCACGCTTTGTTGCCGACAAAATGTGGATATCCCTTTCAGAAAAAATTAAAACATTAATTTATTACTCCCTCTATCTTAAATTATAGGACATTTTTTTAAAAAAATTTCTATTTCAAAATATAAGATATTTTGAATAGATTAAATTTTTATTAAATATATTAATTTTAATTTTACCCTTTCTCTTTTTATAATTAATTTTTATTTTTTTTAATATATTAAATGATGGATATTTTAAAAAATTTATATTTTTATTTTAAAAAATAAAGTTATTAAATATATATAATAAAAATTATTAATATATAAAATTTTATTTAAAAATATATTGTAATTTAATATGGAAGGAGTATATTATGAAAAACAAGTTTCAATTGTTAGATCCAACTGTCATTATTTATTTATTTATACAATGGGCATTCATTATTCATTAATGGGAGGAACCAAGGGCCCAACACGAAATGGGCTCGGACACGTTGATTCACCTGTCAAGTGTCAACACAAGGCTCGCACAGCACAATTTGGTCAGTCGCATTTGACCAAGGATACTCAGATTCTAGAGCATCCGGATCTCGTGCATCCCCAAAAGATGATATGAGCCGCTCAAAGAGAACATTCTAAGCTTCTCTATTTGGAACTTCAAACACATTTAATCTTTTTCTAAAATTTTTGAAGCTTTTGTTATTAGAAACACCTGGTATTGTAATTTCTGGGGAAAATGATATGCGCAAAATTTGTTTTAAATGGACCATGGCTCCGAAAATAGTGAACGAAAAACCATGGCCGATGTAATGGCACCACTCTCTTTTGCTTTTTTCTTGTTGAAATTCTCTTTTAAACTAAAAAGTAAAAATGAATAATTTACAAATCATTACTTTAAATTATTTAAAATTTCAGGAATCAAAATTTAATGCAAGAAGATATCATTAACAATTTTCACATATGGCATCTATATTTTTAAGAAATCTTTTTTTTATAAAAAAGATATCAATATCATAAAAAAATTGAAAAAATAAATATTCATTTGCAATAAAATACAAAATTTATAGTAAGTAGTAAAAGCACATTTATAAGTACTTAATTAACTGAGTAACTTACTTTTATGCTTCATGCACTGTGAGAAAATCCCATATAATAAATCAATATTGTTATATTATTTAGAAATTAATTCGACTATTTTGGTTTTTGAAATTCTGGACACTTTAATTAATGAATTGAAATTATTTTAAAGTTTTATTCTAGCTTCTTCTTCTTCTTCTTCTTCTTCTTGTTTTTTTTTTTTTTTTGTGGTTGTCTATAATTCTAGGATTATTTTTTGGGCCTACAAAGCTGGAACTTGGAACTGGAAGCCATCCTAATGATCTAACAACGTTCTTAATTCCAAGTTCTCCAGAGGCGCAGCAGCTAGGGATTTGGATTTTAGCAGAGGAACAAAGGCCGAAGAAAGACAGAAGGGGAAGATGTTCAGGGTTGCATCGAAGAGGCTTTCCTCCATCTCTTCATCTCCATGGAGAGCCGACCAGGCTATGTCGGCTTTCTTTTCTCGAAACCCTATTAAATCCGGCGGTCCTTCCTCCTCGGATCACAAGAGATCCTCTCCCGAGGCTGGGCATTTTTCTCCCAGGCCCGACTTCCTTGTTCCCTTCAAAGGTTAGGGTTTACTCCCCTTTCTTTATTTTGCACTTCTGTTATCATTCGACACCAATTATTTGATCGAGTCGGCGAATCTCGATTCTTCTTGTTCTTTAAAACTACGCATGTAAATATGCATTCTACCATTAGCTGTTGCGATCTTGTTTTTGTTTGGCTTGGATGGAGCGTGCTGCATCATGAATTTCTACCCTTATTTTGATGCCTGATTCCTGTGGGCAGTAAAAGTTGACATTTACATGCTGCAGCTTATACTCGAAACTGAAATAATTACAAACTAACATGTGTGTGAATGATTCATCACTATATTGGACTCCTGGATCCAAGTATATATTTGAAGATACTTTTTGAGGCATTTTCATTCAAAATTTTCATGTTGATTTGTGAAATACTTCTTTCGTTATGAAGTTTGTTGAGTTATCTATATTTTGATATTATCCACCTCTTAAAGATGTGAGCTACATGTTTGGGAGAACTAGAGTTGTAGTTATTGCTTTATTCTGTGAAACTTGCGAAATATTGCTGGTGTCGTTACCATTTTAATTCATTCTGATGATCGTCATACATGTTGCCAGTTTGAAGGTTTGTGCTTTCCTGTTGATGCTTTGTTTGTAAATCACCATGTGTCAGGTGCAACAACCTAGTGCCTAGCTATCTGTCTGATTGTCTGCTGTAATATGAGCCACTACCAACTGGTAAAATCCAATTGCTATCTTTGAAGTTAGTATTGGATAAAAATTGAATTTTTTATGCTGTTGATACTGGTTGGTTGCATGGGAAATAGTTGTCTTCAGTTAAATAATTACAAAGCTATGATCAGATGGACTTTTTTTTTTCTTAGCCAACGATGGTCATGTGGCTGTTGATCTATTGAATGGGGTATTAAAAAAAAAAAATTCTCTTGTTGCATCTGAGTTATCTTTGGTCTTCCGGCATTGTTGATTCATTCAATATATGGCATGCTTAGAATAGGCTGTAATTATTCTGTTTCTCTTGTCTTTCGTTTACTTATTTTGTGGGATAAAAATCTTTTGTCAGGGCTTGGAGAACTGTTTTTGGCTGAGTTGACACTGATTTATCTGTATATTAACATGGCGTGCTGAGGCAAATGTTAGAATTTGCATCTCCTCCGCACCCCCTGAATAAACACTATACATGAAGTTGTTAGTTGATCAGTTCAGTATTTGGTCAATGAGGCTTTCTTTTTCAATACTAATTGTTTCAATTTGGTTTTCTCCAGGTTTTTCTACTGACACACTGATCCATCCAACAGAAAATAGCATTATCCCTGATGTTCCTCCTACTGTCGCAGCTGTTAAGAATCCCACCTCTAAGATTGTTTATGATGAGCACAACCATGAACGATTTCCTCCAGGGGACCCCAGCAAGAGGGCATTTGCTTACTTTGTCCTGACTGGCGGTCGGTTTGTGTACGCCTCTCTAATTCGTCTCCTTGTTCTCAAGTTTGTGCTCAGCATGTCAGCTAGTAAGGATGTTCTTGCTCTGGCCTCCGTGGAGGTTGATCTATCTGGCATTGAGGCTGGTTCTACAGTGACTGTTAAGTGGCGTGGAAAGCCAGTATTCATCCGTCGCCGAACAGATGATGATATTAAGCTGGCAAACAGTGTTGACATCGGATCTCTTCGTGACCCCCAGCAGGATTCAGAGAGAGTGAAGAACCCAGAGTGGCTTATTGTGATTGGTGTTTGCACACATTTGGGTTGCATCCCCCTGCCAAATGCCGGCGACTTCGGTGGATGGTTCTGTCCATGCCATGGTTCACATTATGATGTTTCTGGCAGAATTAGGAAGGGGCCAGCACCTTACAATCTGGAGGTACCAACTTATACTTTCTTGGATGAGAACAAATTGATGATTGGTTGAAGCTCTTGAGGCTGTTTTGTGCGGGGATAAGGTTATTCAGGCACAACTTTTGTCCATTTATTCGTTATCATCGACATTTACCTTGGGCATCTCTTGTCGAGTCCTCCATATTTGGGTTTGTTTAGATTTGTTAATGTAAGTCCAAAAATGTAAACTTTACTGTTTGGCGAGACCAATTTGAATAATCGCCTGGCTTTTGCTAGCATAATGTTCAAATCTTAAACACTTCAGGAATACGGCATGTGGTATGATGTATTCCATCTTGGAATTTGCCTAGCACATAAGCTTTTGTACAATAGCTGCCTTTAATTTTTTTTTTTTTGGGTTATGATGTCTGGCTGTTTACTTGATACGACTGTTCGCATTCATGAATATTATTTTCGGGGTATCCGGGTATCAGGTTAGGCAGGCAAGAGGCCAACATAGAGTTAGATGACATTCTTTTAACTAGGGAAACCATGGTCATAAATATTTCAGTTAGTTTAAGTGGTGTACAAAGACTAGCAGCATCTCAAAATTGTCAGCTGGCTGGTTGAACACTGAAATCAAAACGTTGGATCCGACACACAGATTCAGCGGCGTGCCTAAGCAAGTCAAGTTTCGAAGATGCCTTTGACATAAACCATGCCTTTTTCGCTCAATTGGAGGTCCTTCCTCATTTGTTCCACTTGTTGATCATCGCCTTGAACGATAATCTCAGATAAGGTTCCATCATCTGCAACCATCATTTTAACCTTAATCTGCTCCTTTCTGGATGCTCGGGTCCAGTAATATGCACCCCTGATTCAAATTCAGAACAAATTTAAGTGTCAGTATTGCCACATATTAGTACTCGCTGCGAAACCTCCTCCCAAACGAAAAGGCACCGAGAAAAGTGTCTACTAGTTTACATTCTCACAGCATTCACTTACGCTAGTGGACTTAAGATGGTAATCCAGAACCAATTGTTGCCAATATCTGGGAAGGTTATCGTAAGAACAAGGGCCACGCTAGCCAAGCTGATGCAGGTGCAGAAACTTAAAAGTGCTGCTTGGCCCCTGCTGGGAACCATCATTCCTTCAAACCTTCATAGACGAAGCACAAAATCGTATCTAGGTCATCCGGCTCCAAATAAAATCAGCGAAAACACAAAAGAGAGAAAAGAAAAGGAAAAAAAAAAAAAAACACTCATAACATGCAAGCCTGAGACCTTTGATAAACGAAAACATTGTGATGTCATTGATATTACCGGACTCGTCGATTATTTTAACCGAATGTTTAAGTTCCTAAGTTTTCCTGCCTCAATTGGGTTACAAAGAGCAGGTAAATTTCTTCGATTGTAGGCAGGGAAAGAGAGGGACTGAGAAAATTAGAGCATGCAAGAAAAGAAGGAGGCGATGATGACTTACGTGATGGCTTCTCCTCTATCAGTCACCGCGAAATTATTACGCGTGAAGAATGATAAGATCTCCCCTGCAACCTGATTTGGCGCCTTCTTCTCACCGTCGCCTATAAAAGTCTTCTTCACAATCTATCATCAGAGTCACCCGAATCAGGTCAGAATTGCCGAACGAACATAGAAAACAGGAGCAATCAAGAAGGAAAATATTACAAAGCGCGAATTACTTTGGACTTGACAGAACGTTTGATGAGGGACCAGAGGCCCGGCACAGAGATGACAAAGAGACCCAGAGAAGTATAGTAACTGGCCAGTGAATAACCGACACTGTCTGTGAGTAAAACAAGAGAATAAGGGTTTTGCTGGTTTTGGTGGGCGATGAAGTCCAAGATAGCGGAAGATGAAGAGACAGGATCGTGAAGTGAGGCATGGAATTGAAGCTTCTTTGACCTCGGTAGGGGTTGCTCGCATCCTAGCCATGGGTGGACTTGGTGGCGGTGGCAGTGGGTGAAGCCTCCGGCGTCGAATTTGGTAACTAATGGGATGTGTGGTGATAACAGCATCTTAGCTGCCATTGATTCTTCTCCCAGCCGTGAACACGGATAGGGTGATTTTTCGAGTCTTATGGTCCAGTACTGCTATATTTGACGGTCAAGATTCACGCAGTATTCGATCACGTAAAACTAAAAAAAATCTCTGGATTCTATCAATCATCAATTATCTTTAAATAATGATGTTATTAACATTAACAACTTCTGCAACTCATTCTTCTAACTTTTGTGTGATAATGCACAATTCAACATTTAGCTCAATAGCGAAACAAATTAAAGAATGATAATTTATATAATTATAATTATAATATGTTTTTTTTTTCTTAAAATCCAATTATAAATCGTGCTTGGTATGAATCTAACTTCACTAGATCCGGGACGCATGCCCAAAGCCAGCGTGTTGCCACGTTCAGACAATTTGAGAGACGATCACGATCCCACGTCGTACTTTGTTCCAGTGCAAATAAAAACGCATAGTCTTTTTTTTTTTGGTTTTTTTTTGGGGGGGGTGGGAGGGGAAAGAACAGGTGATAATTTTTTTATGGGAGATAACAGATGATAATTTTTTTTTATATTTTTACTTGTATTTTAAAATAAGATTATCTTATTATTATGTGACGGCTTGCTCAATTTAGGTATTACTTGAACTTAAATTCTTAACTTCTTTAAAATCATTTTTAAAGTTTGCAAATTTGATTATTTGTCTTGAAATAGTTCCATCATTTGCATCTAACAATTGCATAAATAACTTTTTTAAATAGATAAAATTTTAGATGAATTGGTTTTCATTGGCTCACCAGGACTGGGGCATAGTTTTAGATTCAAGAAGCGCTTACAAAATTATTTATAAATTGGTTATCAACAAAGTCCTCACATTAATAACAAGATTTAAACCCATAACATTATGAGCTAAATCCTTACCAATTGGATCTTTATTGATAAAACTACATAAATTATTCTGCAATATTATAACAACTATGATGGATTTATAAATACTATAGCTTGTCAAAATTTTAATTCTTATATATAGATAAAGTATGAGAAGACTCGTATTGTTAATATATTTCTATTCAATTAAATTAAAATAAGTAAATTTTTAAGTGTTAAAAATATTAATAACATGAGTTTTTTCTATAATATGTAATGTACAGAGGGTAATATCTCATAATTTTATTGAAAATAAACACATTAAATATATAAAAATTATATATATACTCTCTCTGTTAAAAAATATAAAGCATTTTTAATCGAATCTCATCCCTTAATAAAATAATTAACTAGTTTCAAACTAATCCTATCTTTTCATATTTACCCATATTAAACATCTTATAATAAATATAAAGTTATTATTAATAGAGGCACTTTTGAAAAAAGACAATAATTACACCTTAAAAGATTAAAAATGTCTTATATTTTTCAATATCCAACTCTTCAAAAAATATTGATATTTTTTAACACGGGGAGTATATATATATGCCATTGAAATATATGGACTCTTTTTATTTCCCATTTTCAAAACATTTTTTTGCTTTGAGAAAACAGAAAATAAATAAAAAATTGGAAATGGTTTTTTCTTTGTCTTGGAAAAATGTTATTCTTGTTTAGGCTTAATAATGCTCGAACCTAACAAGTTGGATAGCTATGTAAAAAAATTAAAAATTACTCTAGAAAATTAAAAATATATATTTAATATTTTATTACTTTTTGTTCTGTAAAATTAGAGAAAAGACATAAAACATGATATTTTTATTAATGACAATGACAATTATATTAATGAAACAAATATTTTGTTCGCCCTTCATTTCACTCGCTTAACTATGTTCTTTTGTTAAAAAGTTAATATGTAATTTAAACATTGAATTATAAATCTATGGGTGATTTAAACCTTAAACTTTTAAAAGGTGTATTTTAAATTCTAAACAATTAAAATTGAGATAATTTTGCTCTTACTATTAAATTTTGACAAACCCTTGTTAAATTGGGGCTTAATATGTGATTTTTTATCAGGGCAAGAGAGTGGTGGAAGTGAAATTTAAAAAAAAATCACACATTAGGCCTCAATTTGATGGACATTTGTTGAAATTTAATAGTAAGAAAAAAATTATCCTAATTTTAATTGTTTAAAATTCAGAATATATCTTTTAAAAATTTAAGATTCAAATTGTCTATGAACTTATGGTTTAAGATTTAAATTATTTATTAACCTTTTATTAAATAACGCTTCAAATAATTTTTTTCTTTCAAGGCTTGTTTTGAAAAATTAATTTATGAAATTTTTTTTGAGAAGCTCGTGATAAAAAAGAAAGAGAGATAATCACATTAAGGCCTAACCAAATAACATAATTACTATTCAGGCCCTCTTGATTATGATATTTTCATGTGGATCTAAAAGTTTCAAGTGCAATTACTTTCTTCAATGAAATGATCCAATTGCTCTTAATAAGCAAAAAAGTCTAAATGTAAACTTACAGGTACTCGTATCAAATAAGTAAATTTTTTGTTGTAAATAACTAAACTTTTGTTATTATTTATAGACTTGTTTCTTTTTTTGGGTCAGTTTAAAAATGTTCTCTTCTTAAAATATAAGTATAAATTCACATGAATTTCCATAAGTTAACAATCTTCACATTATAATTATAAAAAAATATAAATTTAAGTTCCTTTACTTTACTCACATTTTATTATCACTTTTTTTTTATGTTAGGTCTCTCTATAAATAAAATGTGAGAGTCTTAGAGGGACATAAAATAATAAAAATAAAAGTATAAAGATTTAAAATATAAAAAAATATAAAAATTAATAATAAAATATGAGTAAAGTATATACACTTATAATTATGTTTTTTTACATTATAAATAATAAAGCCATGTTTACGTGTTTTTTAGATCGCTTTTTCGCCACATCGTGCCCCAACAAAATAAAGCACTATAAACAAAACATCATGGATAGCCTTCGCCGCCGCCGATCTTGCTCGCGTCCATATAAAATATACTTTTATAATAAATTAAATGATAATAGACAATTCAGCTCGGCTTTTAAAGTTCAAATTCAAATAAATTAGGCCCATTCGATTTTTCCGATCAGTTGACAAGAAAATAGAATTTTTAATGTAAATTAATACAAGTCCTATCATGTAAGTTATCTCATTATTCAAATATTTTATATTAACATTTACTTGAGTAGATAATGGATTAATTTGCAAATAGTCGCAAATTGTTGCTCATGGAATATGATGAATAAAAGAACATGTGCACCTCTATAAAATCAATTTAATTTTTGAAAGCTTCCACACACACAAGCTTGAGCTAGCTGATTAAAAAAAAAAAAGAAGAAGAAGGCGAAGGGGAGATAATGACAATTTAGTCCTTTCACTCTAACTTTATTTCCTTTGAGGACCTTAATGTTTAGAGTAAAAGCAGGTCCTTTTGTGCAGCTTATTTCATGAACAAGTAATTTTAACATTTCCCCTCAAGCTGTGAGATCAAACGAGCAATATTGGAGAAGTGGACCCACATGATTAGAAAGTGGTTGTTTTTTTAACATAATAAATTGATAATAATCATAGTTCATCCATACCGCACTTTATGCGATTAAATCGAACGCCTCACATCCATTGAAAAAGATATGTTTAATTTGACGTCATATGAAATAGATTTTGACAAGATAAAAAAATGATTAAATTAAATTAAATGTATACGAGAAAAGTGGAAAAAGTGTGAGGGTGCGAATAAGAAAAGCATAAAATGATAAAAACGTTTACTTGAGACTCGAGAGCCTCCCAAGTCCACGAGATCTGAAGACTGTCCGTAACGCATACTTGACGTTACCGTCAAAGACTCAAAGGTGCTCTATTTCGCGACCGTCTCAAGCCGCTACATGCTGGAGCTGAGCCATGCCCACTGATAACAAATATTTATTGTGGAAAAAACATAAAAGTTATAATTATGACGGAAAATATAATTATTAATTAGTCGAACGTTGTATTGATAACATGTAGTATGTGTGTGTGCGGGGGCTCGTTCCTTCCTTTTCTTTTCCCCCATTTTTCTTCTGCCCTTATCCTCTCACGACGCGTTTGCAAGGAGACTTGAAGTCTATGGTCACTTATTCCTTCGCTTTCTTCGACATCAAGACATGCGCCCAAAATAAAACGATGACAAAACCCGCTGGGGCTCAAGCTGTGGATTCTATATTGAAACTTGTGACACGTTCCATTCTCGAGTGAATTTAAATTTATAGAAAGACGTATTTCTAATATTATCCTTATTAATTATTAATTAATTGTATTAAACCCAGTATTATATTAATTTATACACTCTCTTATTGCCCCTGCATCTCACTATCACAGTCTCTAATGCAATGTGTATGCTAGAACATAAAAGAGGTTACACATTTAAAAATTAAAAGATAAATTATAAATATATAAACTTAAAAAAATATGTAATCAAATAACTTAAATTATTTTGATAAAATATACTATCATTAAACATATTTAATAGTGTGTGTGTGAAAAAGATATTTAATGATCTAATAAAACTGCAAGGCAACTAATGAAAAAGAGCAACGAAGTCTTCCAAACTTTGCCTCCTGTATTGACAGGGGGGAGGATAAAATGTGTATAAAAAATATATTATTTATAGGCCGTACACCATCCGATCTTATTTTTAAGATTCTGTCCGTTGATCCTCAATGCAGTATTCTTTGTAAGATTTAATAGAATATTTATGGTTTATTTGCAGAAACATCCCTATCTTTGTACTTTTAGATTAGATAACGGCTTCGATTTGAATAGGGGCAGTTTCAATAAGTTGTGAAATTTTTTCTTAACTAATTTTAAACACTTTTAAATCTCGCAAGTGCAGTTTGACATGACATTATAAAAAAACAAGGAAAAGAAAATAATATAATTCATTTTAAAAAATATAAACTTTATGTTGTGCTTGGCTCACCAGAAAATACTGGAAGAAGAGAAAAAAAAGTGGAGTCATATGACTTTCTCTCCCTATACTTGGCTGAGTGAAAGAAAATGAGAAAAAATATTAATTTTATATGCACAATAATAACCTTATTATTTGTAAAAAAT